TGTATATTTACGTGCAAATCCTAACGCGCGTTATGTATATTTACGTGCAAATCCTAACGCGCGGTGCCGTAAACAACATGAGAACGCGCGGTGGCCCCATGCGCGGTGCCGTAAATAACGTGCGAACGCGCGGTGGCCCCACGCGCGGTGCCGTAAATAACGTGCGAACGCGCGGTGGCCCCACGCGCGGTGCCGTAAATAACGTGCGAACGCGCGGTGGCCCCACGCGCGGTGCCGTAAATAAAGTGCGAACGCGCGGTGGCGTTACGCGCGACCGCGCGGTGGGTTAGGGTTAGGGTTGGGGATAGGGTTAGGGTTAGGTTAAAAAACACCATCGCACGTTATTTAACGCCACCGCGCGTGGCGCCAACGCGCGTTCGCACTTTATTTACGGCACCGCGCGWTAGGATTTGCACGTAAATATACGCCCGATTTATGACCCCAACGGCTTGCCATATGCAGCAATAAGAAGGCCCGTGCAGTGACGTACTACGCAGTGGGAGGGGTTTCAGCTCGGCGCCGTGATTTATGAAATGCGTGTGTGAAAAGAAACGTAGATCAAACACGTGACCGTGCGTCAACTATTTGGCTTCAAGACATTAGCGTTAGCTTCCACTAATCTTTTGTCCGTTTAGTGGATTAGCAGAACTAAGATCCTTGTTTAGCGGATTAATGGTTAGTGAACCTAACTTTTTGGTTAGCTGTGCAGCACTGACTTTGGCTTTATGATTTCCCTCACTGCAGCAAATAAAGAAAATAATGGTCTCTCAAAAGAACTAAAATGAGTTTGTTTGCTAATTTTTATTATATAGAGATGTATTACATTTATTCATGATGAGTCCAAATATGAAACTCTAAACTGAGCAACAGTCAGATTGCTTTTTTACTATTTTTCAGTGAAATGATCAGAAAAGCCCTGCAGCATCGTACAGAACATTTGTTATGCAGGTCAGCAAAAAATTGGATTGAATTCCTGTTATGTATCGTTTTATTTTTTATATAGAACCATTTGAGATTAATAATCCGGGATTTGCATGATAGGAAATATTCATGGAGGAAAATGAACAGCCTACATTCTGACTGATAAAATAGTTGTTAGTAATTAATGGGAATGAATGACAGAGCAGAGCACATTCAGTACCCAGTGAGTGAACAGTGCAGGAATCTCTGCCTGCTGTATTCAGCTGTTTATACACAAATAAACTCATAGGAGCAGTTTTAACAAAGTCATGTTAGGAATAAAGTCCTAATATTCAGGCCTGAGGTCCAGTGGAACCGCACCTTCAGCTCGGGGGGGAATGACAGCATCCTTCGAGGCGAATCACTGCAGTGTCTCCTCACCGGTGATATCATCCTCATCCTCCTCCTCMTCMTCATCATCATCATCACCATCATCATCATCATCATTCACTCCTCCGTTTCCACCAGCTTTCATTTCCACACTCAGCACAACCGCAGCACTTAAACATCCCCACTTAAAGCATCACCACAGGAGGAAGAAAACACGCCATGTTGGTGATTTAACAGCCTATTTCCGCAATGGGAATTATTCTCGCTCCTCGGTTAAACAAAGCCAATCCTACATATTTCCGACTAATAATCTGTTTGTTTATTTATTTATTATTGGGGAAGCACGCAGGATTACAGCATCGCCCCCCTCGGCGGCAGCAGCAGCAGCAGCAGCAGCAGCAGCAGCAGCAGCAGCAGCAGCAGCAGCAGCAGCACATCTGGAGGATGAGCGGTGCAGAGAGCCATATATCCACAGCCGCACTCTCACCTCGGATAAAAGCCGCGGCTGTTTCCGCCGACGCTGCAGCTGTCGGGCCTATGAGGAACAGGTCGGAGCGTCCATCACCAGGTCCGGAGC